AGCAGAGAATATATATATATATTAATGTTATATATATAAATTTCTATGCAAAATTACATTTCATTGTGGATGATTGTTACATAAAATGTAAATTTTTCTTTAATTGTTTTAACTAAAATTTAATCTTATGAAAAATACTATATTTTTATTATTAAACAACATTATTAACATAACATAATATGCATTAATTATATATTGAAAAAAAAACAAAAGAAGAACAGCAATCGAGATTTTTGATGGAACAGTATAAATAGAGAATTTGATTGATGAAGATGATTATGAATTAGAAAAATATGTTGTATAAGAAGTACAATCTGTAAATGATGCATGGTGATTTGTCAATTTTCAATGCTATTGATAAAAGTAATTAGTTTCAGATTGCTTATTTTTCTTTACAAGTTTTGTATAACCAAACTTTTGTTGCAATGCAAATTTTAATAATTATATAAAAGTCAAATATTATAATAAAATCTTAATAATATGGAAATTTATATAAATTCACATGTAATATAAATATGATTTGAAATCTTTTTTTATCCATGTAAATGGTCACAATAAGGGAGATATAGATAAATGTCATATTTTTCATTAATGCAGTTGCATAATCTCATTGTTTATTAATTACAATGGCATTAAAGTTTAATTTATTCAAAAGTATGTATTACATAAAATAAATAAGAAATAAGATTTTATTATCTATTTTATAATCTTTGAATCAGAAAATTATTTTTTGGTTGCTTAAGTTCAAAAACTTAATAAAACTAGTTTGCAAACTGTTCAAAAAACTATTATTAAGATTTAACAAGTTTATACTGGATACATATTCAGTGCAAAAATATTTTAAGTAGTATTTCTAGAAAACATATATTTAAATCTTGCTTTATAAAGACTAATATATAAAATTAATATTTTAAATAATTAAGTTTAAAAAATATAAATAATTGTTTACGATTACTTTTCCCTTTTTATTTATCATCCTAATTTCTTACCTATTTTTTATGCCAATAGTAGATTTAAACCGTTATGCCCCGCGTACGCCTACAACACCTCAAAGACGCTTGTTATCGTATCCGCAGACACTCTCTCCCTCTATAATTCGTGATCCTAGGAGTGTTTGTCCCTCACCAACTCCAATGTTCCAACAGCTTTATCATGCGGTCGCTTATTGGGAGAAACAATTATTTGAACGATCTTCGACACCTGGCACAGATCAGGAAAACGCTGTCTCTTTGATTCCCAATGAAGAACCAGATAATGGTGATAATCAGCCGTCTGGTTCTTCAGAGCTTCCTGCTTCTGCATCTCACTTACCAATCTCCCCAGCATGTTGCATGACTGTTCCTTCTGTATATGTCTTAGAGTACAATACCCGTCAAGTAGTAACGCTAGATCGTGTGTACATCTCGCGAACAGACCTGGACGATATTAGTCAGCCGGAAAATGGAGTAGCAGCTGATGCTGAAATCAGTGCTTCAGATAGCGAGTCTGAGACATCGGCCAAAGAAGATCAATTGTCAGAGCCGATCACTGAAACACCATACATTTCTAATGAAAAAGAAGTTCTTGGAACAGTAAGAGTATTCAATTGTAATATGATTTTCAATTAAAACATAAACATATCACATTGGAAAATAAATATCACTGACGACGTGTTTATAATTTATTGCGTTTTGATCTTTTGATCAAAGTTTTTCGACTCATTTTGATTTTATCATAAATTTAGAATTTTACACATTTGGTATATTTACTTTTATATTGTGTTGTTATTAATAAATAGGCCGGTGAAGTTGTTACGGAGCTACAAGAAGAGCAAAAATCTTTGATATGGTTCTTAATGAAACAAGTTCGTCCTGGCATGGATCTGTCCAAGGTGGTATTGCCAACTTTTATTTTAGAACCACGTTCATTTCTGGAAAAACTGGCCGATTCTTATTATCACGCCGATTTATTGTCTCAGTTAGTATAAGATATAGTATAATATATTTCAATTATAATTTTTATGTTTCTAGGCCACATATAAGAAATCTAAATTTCTGAGCTTTATTTTATTTTACAGAGCAGTATTGGAAGATGATGCATTTACACGTATGAAGGCTGTAGTAAAATGGTACTTATCGGGATTTTATAAGAAACCACAAGGCCTAAAAAAGCCATACAATCCGCTTTTAGGTGAAACATTCCGTTGCTATTGGCAACATGTTAATGGTTCAAGAACATTCTACTTAGCTGAACAAGTAACAATTCTCCAAAAATATTTAATATTATTATTTATATATTGTGTTATATGTTCCATCTTAATACATATGTCTAAATGTCTTTGCTAGTTATCACATCATCCACCCATCTCAGGATTCTATGTGACGAATCGCCAAGATGGATTTACTATTAGTGCTACGATTATTGCAAAGTCTAAATTTTATGGCAAGTATTTCTTTGCTATTTAATATAGAATGAGATAATGCTCTGTATTAATACTTTTATTCAGTAACAATGTAACTTATAGTACAAATTTTGTTATAGGAAATTCAACCTCCGCAGTTTTAGATGGTGTTGCTGTATTAACAATGCTACCAAGAGGTGAAGATTATACAATGACAATACCTTATGCGCATTGTAAAGGTATTCTTATGGGAACATTGTCTATGGAACTTGGTGGAAAAGTTAATATAATATGCGAGAAAACCGGCTATCATACCGAATTAGAATTTAAACTCAAGGTAACAAACAGTATTATTATATTTTATTTAATGAATTATTAACTTTGGCATATTGCGCTTTTACGCAATATACCAAAATTATATATCACACACAATAAAATTGTGTATAATATATTTAAAAAAATATATAACACTTTTAAGAAATTTTTATTATTAAAAATATATAATATCAATAACGGACAAGCGAACAGGAGTAAGTTAAATCTTAATCGATAATTTCTTAGCTAAGTATTAACATATATCTTTTTATTTTACAGCAAGAAAATATATTCTTCAATCCAACTCCAGAAATACGCAAGAAAAGGTTAAAAAAATACACTGTTCCTTTGGAATATCAGGGGCCATGGGAAAGTGAAAAATTGTGGTATGCTGTTACACAAGCCATTAATAGAGATGATCAACTCGCTGCGACTGAAGCTAAAACTCGACTCGAGGAAGCACAAAGGGAACGTGCTAAAGAGCGGAAAAGTCGCGGGCAAGAATGGATTCCAAAATATTTTCTTCAAGTACGTCGCTTTTATATTTATATTTATTGATATTATGACAAATATTTGATATTTTTGTAAAATAATATAATTTATCATTACTTAGGATATTATAACGGGAAATTGGGTCTATCGGCATGCCGATGTAAGACCATGGGATCCGAGAAACGATGTAGTACAGTATGAAGAGAATTATATAGTACGCACAAAGACAAGGCATAAAACACCTATTATGCGTACTGGCAGTATTGTGTCTACTGAACCACAATCACAGGTACAGCGATGTAAGAGCTAATTTGCATGCTGTTTTAACATCTGTATACATATAAGTAACATTACTTTTAACCGCTTTGTGGTTTTTTCTTCTTTTTCGACAGTGCTACCGAGCAATTACATATATTACTCTATCTTATTTTATTTGCTATCAATGGATTTGAATAGACTGTATACATTTTCGATATTTATAATAAACCTATTTCGCTCGATTTGCAGTTGGTTGGTTTAGTTTTTAGTATCGTATTTATTAATTAATTTAACATTGCTTCTCTGTAAATCGATATATTTATTTAGTCTTAGAACTCTACATTATAAGTTCGCACAAGTTTGAAAAATCTGAAATTATTACATTCAAAGTAAGTTTTAAATACATATATTCTGAAAAGTTTCAATAAAGATTTATATAATTGTTTATATAATCTTCTGTATTTAAACTTGTATATAATTTTAAATGTCTTGCACATATTATCATCTTTTCTTAAATATTAGTTTACACATATCATATATGACACATATGGCATATGGTGCTTTTATTAAAAAAGAAATGTAACATAAAGAATTGCACCGAGATTCTAACAAAAAAAAAACAAAGAATAAAGATAAACTTGCAACCTAATACGATTGAAGAATACACATGAAAAATTGTGCATAATGTTAATGAAAAAATGTTAATCTTAATGCTAATATTAATTAAATGCTAATATTTTTTTTCTTATACAATTTTTAACATTTCTCATAAGTAAAATTTTCGTTTTTCTTCAATCAACATCATAATATATGTAAATGTAATTATGTATTATTTATTATTCATATATACATTTCATATATAAACCTGTAATTAATTCTAATTGTATGCAAATAATAATCATTGCAGATCCCATTACTACAAGCTGAGTCACGTTCATCCTTATCAGTGCTCAAATCTTCAAAAAGACAGCTATCTAATAATATGCCTATGTCAGAAACAGCTCATGATTCTGGGAGCTCGTCCGCAGAGGCGCATAGCGATTCTAGTCAATCATTAGGAAAGAGAAGACGTTCGAGTGCTAGGTAAGATTGTTTAAATATAACAAAAAATATTATCTATATTTATAATAATGCGCACAATATTTTTATACATAAAACAAAGTTTCTTGTAATCTCATATATATAATAAATATATATATATAAATTTATTCTTTTTAGAATAATAGTCATAATGAAAGAAGTAGAGAGTCAAATGCTAGAACATGGTGAAAAACTAAATCGTATACAGCAGATTGTAGAACAAGTTTGCAAGAAGCAAAGAGAATCCGGTGAACAGCATCACAACATAAGTATGTTCAAGAGCTTCGTGGATACTATACTTATTATTATTATCGTTTTCTTAGTGCAATACTTTGTAAGTGTATGGAGCAATAATCCTACTAAGGGTTGAGGAATTTAGTAACATTGTTTTATGTAACTCGTCACTTGAATTATGTATATCAATTTTTTGTCTTAAAATTCTCACAGCGTGGTGTCGGTACTATTTCATCATCGTGGTGAGGAAAATCATATCGGGAAAATATAATAATATAATTTTTATTTTAAAACAATATTTGTGGAACACATTCGTCTATGTAGAAATAAAATATTAAAAGAATCCACGCAACGTAGATTCAGTGCAATGATATTTTGTCATAGTTGCAAAAATGCAAAATGTCAAGTACAGAAGCTAACAGTCTATATGAGCTTATATTGTATATAGAGCTTAATTAATGTGTGAAGATATAGTGTTCTCGAATTACTAATCCAATTTTTATTGCAACCCATCAGTACCAAATTGTAATATAATCGTATGATTGTTGTAAAAATGTTCAGTGTCGTCAGTTTTGTAGCTAATTTATTATAAACCTTCTTATATTTAATTCTGTATTAATATACAATATAATGTATAGCATATTGTAATTTCATTTCAATGTGATATCTCAAGTTTACAATATTATCTTGCTTATATTAAATTGTTATATGTTTTATGTAAATTAATAAATTCTGTTATTGTTTATATCGGTTAACTCGGGTTAGAGGACAAAATATTCTATGTTTACATAATATTGATAAAAATTTTCTTTAGAACTCCAATAAAGAGAACTTACGATATTATTTTATTTATCGCCGAGAATTATAAGTTTATTCATGTGATATCTCGACGATAGCAATAGTACCAAACTTGTATATAAAATAATCTATGCACTTTGTTTGACATTACATTCAACATAATTATCCACAATTTTTTTAAATCAGTAAGCATATTTATGTAATTTTTGGAAACTTTAAATTCAATAAAATAATATAGTTTAACAAATGTCCAAATTATATAGTTGCACTAATACCAACATTTTTAATGATAATTTATCAGACACATATTATAGACAAATTGTCAAATTTAAATATTACGAAACTATTTTCTTAATAATATATATTAAAAAATCTTTGTTTTTTTTCCAAATTTCATTAAAAGTAATAATTTTATTATAGTTTTAAAGTTAACATGATCTTTATATATATTTTTAATCACGTGATAAAAATACTTAAAATATATATAAATAAATTTTTCATTTTTGTTTAAATATATATGTGAAATTTTGAAAATAATTAAATAATTTGTCAATCCAATATTCTTACGAAATATACAGTTATATTTTATATTCAGATGGAGAGAGAGAAAGTCTCTATAACGCCACAAATGCTACGTACAGCTGTAAAAGAATTACAAAAACGTCAACTATTTGTTAAATCAAAGAATTTAAAAGATTTTATACGAAGATACTATCCGGTTGAAAGAGACTTCGAAGCTCTCGAGCAAGAATTGCAGGAGAAATTGAAGTATGCTGTTTGTGTCGGACTCCTCGCCAAACACGGCGACGACCAATATTGCATACCGACTTTACGAGAGGAGGCTAACATTACTAAAACAGCGATCAGCGCATTCTGGGAAATGTATAAAAATGTAATATAAGTATTATTCTTTTTTTTTATGCCGATCTTTATATTGCATAACAAAAAAATCGTTGTTTTTTTTCTATTCGTTTAGAATAATCGATTGCGTAACGTGAGAAAAAAGAAAAAGGCTGACGTTAAGCGATCAATGTCGCGCCGGAAACAAAAGGATTATGCAAGTTCTTCTAATACTAATGAAACCGATAGCAGTGAGGATTTATAGATTTTTTTTCTAATTGTAAAACGCGTAAAAATTAAACGTTGATGTTAAATCATTTTATGCCGCATTGTAACACATCTTTCCAATACATATCTTATGTACTGATACACAAGTTTTTTTTTTTATTCTATCAACAAAAAATGTAATATTTATATAAAGTAATATTATATATAAATTAATTTTGTTTATTTATAAAATATAGTACATAAAATATAGATATACATAATTCTGATACATACAGATGCAACTTGATTATATACAATAGAAAGTCTAACATTGTGTAGCACCAAGAACGGAAAAAGAGTTATTTACATCATAAAAAGTTTCTTCGCTGGTACTTTCACATGTCTTTATTGTTTCTTTTTCATGATCTTCCTGTGTAGTAGATTCTTTTTTTTCATATCTTTTTGTCTTTTGCTTTTTATATTTACTAGATTTCTTTTCCAATGCTGTATTAAATAGAGGTTTGACTTTTAATAAAAGTATATTAAATAGATGCGATAAACTCGGAGAACTTTGCAAAATCGAATTAATATAAACTTCAACATCGTCGCGCCTTTTAAAATTGCTACATAAATTATATAGCAATGTACCATTAAACACATTAGCAACCTTGGTTTGTTCATATGGATATTCCAATAATGCATTTAAGTTCATACTGTGCCTTAAACAATTCTGAAATTCTGCAAAACCATGAACAACTGTAATATTGAACCGTTTTGGTTGTAAATATAATTTTTGATCAACTTCGAAATTAGATATAAAAAATGAAGCTGCAATCAAGCAGTCATCTGCATTAACTTCATGAAATGCATTTACTAGTGTAGTATCGATTGAATATTGTGGCCGATAGTTTCTCATTTTTCTCGCATATTTAATATTTTCCACAGTTTTACTGAATCTATGATAAAATTTGTTTAAATTTCTATACGGGCCTACTTTGTGATCTATTATGTTAAATAACATAGCGAATAATAAGGAATATATATGACAAGTAAATTTAAATGATTCTTGTTGTTGATCTATCCAATACTTCATGGTCGCGATATATAACATCCAATATGATGGAATTTCCTGTATATAATTTTCATCAGCAATTCCCAAAGTGGTATTTAAAATTTCTCTTCTAATAATAATAGGTAATTCTCTCAAGTTAAACAAAGATGGTAATTTACAACCTAATATATTATCATTGTATTCTAACTGATAACGCTTAATTTTCTTATTCTCATCTCTGGTCATATATTCCATGCAGGTCTTTCTTTCGTCAATACTTGATATCAATAATCCATAAATAACACCTATAATTTTTAAACTTGCAACGACAGACGAGACACAAAAAAAGTCTTCTACTTGTGTGGGGCAAACATATAATTTCCGTACTATTATATCTATGAAATAAGAAGGATATTTGCCCAGTTTGAATTCATTAATAAACCATTGAGGCAAATTGTTGACCAGCAATTCATTAGAAATCACCTCTTTCTCTTCAAGTATGGTTGTTATTTCTTTTTCGTCTGTTTCGTTGTCGTCGTCACTTAGATTTGCTTCATTTAGCTTTTCCTCAATGTATGTCAGATTGTATATGTCACCTTCAAATTTGTACGTTTTGAATGCATCTTGTATATTTGCTCTTGAAAAATTCTCTGTAGGAACATCTAGTATATGTAACACGCTCAGTGAAGCACTGATGTAACCATTTATTATAGTTTCTATTATATTTAATACATGTCTGCGTTCCCGTTTTCGTAATCTACTCAATATTCCTATTACAGCTTGATTTAAGCTGTGTCTTCGTAACCAATTAAATGTAGCATCTATACGTCGTTGTTGCTCATTGTACTTCTTTTTTCCTGCTCGTGGTAATTTCAAATGACGAAAAAAGTTTTTAAACGTATGTTGTTTCACATAGTCATTCCCCAATAATATTGCTGCCAGAGGCAACAAAGATTGATTTAATCCATTGTAAACTCGGAAAAGTTTTTCTGCACAATAAATCTTGCAACGTTTCATATAACCTCGACCTACTGGATTAGGAACATTATTTTCCCATGTACTGAATGGTATATACAATGATCCATAAATATAGAAATCGGAGTCGTAACTTAATACAGGACAGTTGAGAATACGCGCTATTGCAGCTATAACATTATCCGCTTCAAATATACATTGCGTATACTTGACGCCTTTCTCTTTCATGACATCTTTAAAAACTTCTTTTATAAGTAGAGGAAAGAATTTGGTTCTTTGTTGAGATTGTGGTGTGTAATGCGATGCTATTCCAATCTTCTCATTAGTTCTGGATATGATCGTCTTCAGTTTCTTATCTTCGCAACCGCCATCGATTAAGACCAATGGAGTGACATTGCACATAAAGAGTTCATCAAAAAAATTTGCTACACACTGTGCATACTTGTCGTAATCGCCGCCAAAGGCGCAGTTGCATCTTGCATACCAATTATACAATTGACATCCTATACTATTGCCGTCAATCACTAAATAAGTATCGTGTAGAGCATAATTTTCAAGATAATCATCAGAGTGATTGGATATGTATGTTGTTAATCCAGGAATCCCCATTCTCTAAAAGTTGATTATCTAAATCTTTATTCGTGGGAATTATATCCACATTGAATTAAGTTTCTGTAAAAAAAAAATTAAATACTGGTATTATTCATGTTTATAGTAATTTATTTCTTTAAATTATTTTTTCCTTAATTTTACTTATTATGTACAAGATGTTTGAGATTGAATCTAACCTAAAGAGATGTTTTGTTTTTTTTTACGTTTTCTTCATCAATCAAACCTACTGTTTCTAGCGATTACTATTTCTGACAAGTCATAATACTTTTTATAATCACTTTAAAATTTCTAATTCGTTGTTTGATACTATTTTTATGTATAATAATATGCAATATGTAAAAGTAATAGTGAATATTCAATTATGATGCCATGGTAAATTACCAACAATAGCTGCTAGCTGACAAGAGCTGCGGTCGAGAAGACGCTAGAAATGCTTCGAAGCGTTTGATTGACCAATCAGCACAAAAAGAGTAAATATTTATTTATTCTGATTGGTTAATGCAATGCTTCGAAGCATTTCTAGCGTCTTCCCGACCGCAGCCTGTATTTATATGCTATAACCTTCATTCAAATTATCATGCGATATAAGAATCTTTGTTATTCCAGCGGTGAGTAATGTCAGGCAGATTCTTCGCCACGAAACTCGTCCAATCAGGTTCCTCTCAGATAAAATAACTTTTTTTTTTATCTGGATAATTTAATTTTACTAAGTTTATTTCTCTCTAAGGCCGGATTTACACCTTGGCAGAAAAGCAGAAAGCAGAAAAGCAGAGGCCAATCAGAACTCTCGCTAAAAAAGCAGAATGTACTGCTTATTTTCAGCGCGAGTTCTGATTGGCTTCTGCTTTTCTAGCACGAGTTCTGATTGGCTTCTGTTTTTCTGCTTTCTGCTTTTCTGCCAAGGTGTGAATTCTCCCTGTTTTATAGAAATCATGCAATTCCTAGCGACAATGATGAACACATTAGCTTATCGTGGAGAAGTAACAATGAAAAATAATATAAAGAAAATTATATCTAAAATCAAGTTTCATTCTAAGAAGCAAGTCACAGATATAGTCACCGCAAGAAAATTCGGATTGCATGATGTCGAAAAATCCAACTTTTCGCACTTCGACAGGATATATAACCCTTAGGCCTTCCGGCGTAACAATGGGACTGATGAAGAAAGCCAATATAGGTGAATCTATAACATTTATTGAGACTGCCATATCGCAACTAACGGAGGATAAAAAATTTCAAGGAAACCACGAAATGACAGGTTTTCCGATTTGGGTTTGATCAGTAATTCTGGCCAATAACAGGTTAACGTGGGAATAAGATAGGAGAAATTATTTATAGTATAATGAAACTTCTTTCTGAGGCATGTGGGGAAATGGAACAATGTACTTTTTACAGGACTCACATCTACACATACATTTGCCTGAGACTGCTATTATAAAAGATAGGGCTTGTGCCGGGATAGCTGTTACTACGGCACTCATTTCATTAGCAAATGGTCAAGGTATCAGGGAAGTTAAATTTGAAAAGTCAGATACTTCCTGTCAGAAGTATCATGGGAAAAACTGTTGCAGTAAGTAAAAATATAATTAACTAATTGTTATTCGATTTAATTTTAGTCAATTATTAAAATTAATAAAACATTCTTTTTTTTTAGACAATAAATGCTGGTGTAACACATTTAATATTGCCAAAAAGAAATCAGGCCGATTTCAACAACATGCCTAACTACATCTAAAGTAATATAAACATATCTTTTGTATCGATATATAATGATGTATACCATATATGTTTTAAACAAACACACCAACCTCAATCCAAAAAAAATATAAGATTAAATTATTTTAGTGATACAATTAAATTTTTTAAATAATATAATTCTATAAATTCTCTATCACATATATATCTATTATGTAGGACGTTTGTATTACATTAAGAATATCTTTCTATTATAAAAAAAAATAATGTATCATATACTTCTAATTGAAATAAAATGATTGGTATATACAGTAATACTGATTAAATATTATATCTCACAGCCAGTAAGTATTTTTATTCTTCCAAAGAAGTTCTAAAAATGAAATGTATTCTTTGTTAGATCAGTTGTTATATTTTCATGTTAATTATAAATTTGCCGGAAAGAAAGAAAAATAAGAAAATTAAAAATATATTTATATATCTTTATTCTTTCAAAGTTCTAAATATGGAATGTATTCTTTGTTAGATCAGTTGTTATATCTTCATGTTAATTACAAATTTGCTGAAAAAGAAGAAAAGTCATATATAAATTATTTTGTGTAATTAAAATACTTTTAAAGAAATTGTTATTATAAGTTATTAATTATTAGTTGCTAAGAAATTTTGATCGTGTGCAATAATTTAAATATGTAAAAAAAGTTTTATAGACTAATTAAAAAATTGCAGTTTATTAAATGTTATTAATATAATTAGAAGATTTCTAAAACTAACAATCAATACTATATAACAAATTTTGATATATAACTAAATTTCGAGAAACGATTTTTTTCTTTTTTCTGGGATATTCAAATTAATGTGCATATTTTCTCATTCAATTCTGTATAACTTTTGATACCATGGTTATTTGCAAGCGCTCGATCTCTTTCATCCCATATTGTAAGACCATCACATGCACAAATTTTTTTCGTATTTTGTAATAATCCAGAAGATCTGGCTATAATACCACAAGCCAGCCTGTACAAGAAAAAAAAATTTAATTTAAAACAGTAAGTAATAATCAAAGCTTTGATACAATAATTTAATTTATTCCATTTGTACCTAATTCCACTGTTTCCATTTATTTTGGATTCTGGATTGTCACCTCTTCCCAAATCATCTGAGTCATTGGTAATAATGAGCGATCTACCAATGATGTCAGATATTTTAAGGTACTTATCTATCTTCCGAAAAGTAGCTCGGCCTGTAGTGTCTGCTAAGATATTACCAAGATCACCAATATGCTGTAATTATATAAACAATATTATAATAAAACTTATATGGGACATATATTTATGAAATTTAAATGTGTGTAGCTTTTTATATTTACCCTCTGAGACAGATCATTTTCGGGAGCACCATGTGGAGAATTATTTGGATTAAAGTGCTCACCTACGCTACAATAAAAATAAAAATTGTTCAGAGTATTTATCTGGAAATTTCTATTTGTACACTGACTTACCTATCACAGCCATTAGATATATCACCACATTCATGTATATGTATACCATGCTCTCCTGGAGTTAATCCATCAACTGTACCATCTATGATACATCCCTTTGGAGTTTGTGCAAATCTTATTACACCTTTGATCAGATCACCTACACTGTATCCTGAGTTTCCACCCAGCATTGATACAGCGCTTAATCCATCTGTAAAAATTAAATACAATAAAATTTTAATAATAATAAGTTAGTCAAGCGTAATTATATATATACATACGCAAAATACATATAATAATAATAATAATAGATAGAAAGCTTTTTCTACATAATATAATCTTTTTTCCTTTTTGATATTTTTAAACTTTTGTGATTTGGATGATAAGTTGGATTCATCAAGGCTTTCAGCACATTTTGCATACTAACAAAAGATCAAAGATAAGTAGTCTTGGAAAAATTGCGAATGAAATAAATGATAGATATAAAAGGAAATATGCCTTTTTACAATATATAATTAAAATATAATATACTATCATAATAAAAGAAGTATATTTAAACCTCCATATCCTTTCAACACTGTCTGCCTTCCAGTTTGTTCGATTCTTTCTTGTATGATAGAGTAAGGTAGATCGGTTTCAACGATAATAGTGCCACGTTCCAATGATATATCAATATTTCGGATACCCTTCAGATCTGCCACACTCTTGGAAATTGCATCGACACATTTCTCGCATGTCATATGTACCGCAAATTCAATCTGCGGAAATAATGAGCCATTATATATAATTCACAAATTTTACAATATTGTACTACACTTTGCCAATAATGCAAAATAATTACTCACTTTTGTCAAAGCCATTTGTACACGTAATTATATCAACATGATAAAGCACAAATTTACACTGTGTACCGGTTGCATATGCCGGATTCTTTTTTTTTTTAGTATGTAGATAAAGATATTTATTAATTTCAAACGTTATATTATCTTTTCTATCTTTATACACATCTTTTTTTTGTACTTTCTTCGCAAAATTCGCAGATGTATAATTACATCCGTGTCACATCACATATCACACGTAATGTCATAAAAAAGTAATGCGCAAAATTTTTTGAATTAGAATCTGTTCTGAAATTGACCGTAATTTATGCAAGCGATATTCGTGTGCACAGTGCTTATTGAACGATTGCGTCACGTAGAGTAGCATTTGATTGACCAATCAGAACAAAAAAAAACGAAAATTTCTTTGTTTTGATTGGTCAAACAAAAATCACTTGATGCTATTCAACGAATAGAATTTTCGAACGTAATTCAATGTGTGAGCACACACACAATCTCGTCTTTATAATAATTATAATAAATATTTTTTATAAATAAATATATATATATATTTATTTATTAAAATTTACTATATAATATATATTTGTTTATATTTCTATGGTTGTCAAAGAAAAAGCCGCAAGCTTTGATATTCGCCGTCAGTGGCGTTGCTTTCCCAAGCTCTCTATTTCGGAAATGATCCAATCTCTTGTCTCTCTTTCGTTCCCGAAATTGGATACATACTTCGCAGAATAATTACCGATAATTGCCGATCATACGCATAAGCTATATTATAACAAAAATATGCTGCACGGACGAGCGGTTTGTGGTTAGTTAATGCGCGAGTCAATCAATTTTCGCGAGATTTTCAGTAATCCTGTGTAAATAATCTCTACACTTTTGGATAAGTTGTCATCGCAAGAACATGCTCCGAAAATATGACGAAAATGGACGTATCATGCACGTGAAACATTTTTAGATAAATCTTCGTCGAGAGTAAATCTCTTGAATTGTGTCGATCTTTTTTATTGAACAGACGAATCGTTAATTGTTTAAAAAATGTCTGTGACCTTTGCGCAACGTGGTAGGCCCCCTCCAAATCCTGCTCAAATACAGAAGGTAAAGGAATTGACTATAGCTTTGAAAAAAAAAGCAGTTATTATAAATAAACTAATAAATATATCACTTATATATAATTAAAAAAGTAAAATATGAGATACATATATATATTTTACTGTTTTAAGAATTGTAATTATGTATATATATACATTTATACATTTCTCTAGATGCTTGACGAGAATAGCCAACTTATACAAATGATTCAAGAGTATCAAAATAAAGGCAAAGCACAGGAATGTGTACAGTACGTAATAATAAACGATAATGTACAATATTTTTCAGATATATTGTATATTTTTAATTCTAGTAGAAATTAAATCAATTGTCTATGAAACGACATTGTATTAATAATTAATAAAGAAAGTTTGTGCAATTTTCTGCTGCAATTCTCTATTATAAAAGCTGCACAAACTTTTCTGTTTACCGGAGATACTATAGGAATTAAATATTTTAATTCTTACCAAGATAATGGCTACTAAGCTATTTTTTATAGTATTGAAAAGAAATGCATTCTTTTAATATTATCAACAATCTTTTTTTTTAATTTTGGGATTTATTAGACTTAATTTTCAGATACCAGCAAATGTTACATCGCAACTTGGTATATTTAGCATCTATTGCAGATGTGAATCAGAATCTTCAAACTTTATTACCTGTAAGCAACAAATCTCAGAACAAAAAAACATTCATTAATAAAAATCGTTTAATCCAATAAAATCATAAAGTTAAATAAAATTTTTGCGAACAATTGTAGGATTTAATTAGATTTTTTGTTCCAAGCTACCTCAAGGTATTCCGAATGGTCCTCAGCATGCTATGATGAATCCACAAGGGCTTCCAAGTGGTCCAGGTGCTTCGGCTAGTCCTGGAGGAGAAATGACTCCAAATACACAGCCAACTATGCCAATGTCGAGTTTTAATCAAGGTCAACCAATAGCACAAGGTTATCGTGGACCTGTGATGCCTGGTCAAGGACCTTCCATAAATAGTATGTTTCTTTCTAGTTTAAATCTATTGGCGGAAATTTCTTTATATTCCTAATTTGAATTTATTTCAGATTTGTAATTAAATATTAATCAAATCTGACATATAATTGTAATATAATCTCGAGCTAAATGATTGAGATTAAGTAATATTTTATCATGTGATATTTTAATTTGTTAATATAGGACCTCCAACTGCACCAGGTCCACAACAATATAGAGGCCCACAAGGTTATCCTCAACAGCCTTCTCAGCAAGGTTATCCTGCTCAATATGCCAGTCAGAATCCTGGCTCTAATTACCAAGGACCGCAAGGATCTGCATACACTCCTGGTCAACCAAACCAATATGGACCACCAAACACTTCTCAGCAACAAGGATATAATCCAGCAACGCAGCCAAATTATGGTCCTCCAACTACAGTGAACAGCTATGGTCCACAACCAGGTGGTTATCCACCGCCGGGCACGACTCAGCCACCTTCCGGATACGGACCTCCACCGCCAAATCAGCAAGGTTATCCACCATCAAATGCTTCTCAGCAAAATTTCTCATCAGGTAGTCAACAACAACAACAACCAGGACAATATGGCAGTCCTAGTCCACAACCAAATTATCAGCAGCCTCCGTCCCAAGCTCCACCTCAAAATGCATACGCCGCTGGACAACCTGGAAATTATCCCCCTCCATCCTCACAGGCATATGTGAATAATGTTCCGCCGCAAAATTATCCACCACCTCCGACAACCAGCACGACTCAACCCCCTCAACCTGGATCTCAGCAAAATACGGGTCCTCAGCCCAACTATGTTAGCCAACCGAGCCCAGGTCCTGGGGCGACACAGTACGGTCCCGTTTCTACATCTCCGCCATTTAGTACTTCCTCCGCGAGCGGCGGCAATACTTATGCTCAGAGTCAGCCAACAAGCACGCCGTCTGCCTCAACACAGACGTATCCGCCAAGTAGTGGTCCGCCACCAACATCGCAGGCTGGAAGTTATGCACCCCCGGTTCCGCCGGCCCCTTCTGGATATTCTGTTCATCAAACACCTCATCCGACGTCGCACCCCCCGCATCCGCCGCCGCCGCATCAATCACCACATCAGCCACCGCACACCCCGCATCAATCACCCCATCAACCATCACATCAGTCGTCCCATCAACCGCCTTCCCATCAATCGCCGCATCAGCCACCACAACAATCTCAGCAACAGTCGCAAACAGCTCCGCAGACGCAACAGCAGCCGTCTCAGAGTCCAGCCCCGAGTGGATTTCAACCACCGTCTGGACCACCGCAAGGTCCCGCCCCACCACCAGGTCCTCAACAACAACCCGCTTATGGACCCACTACTACGCAAACATATGTTCCACCAACACCAGGAGGGCAACCACAGGTATTGTTCAAGATATTTATACTTAGATACATTGAACTAACTAAGCAATTAACCATCTATATTTATTATTTGTTTTACAACATGAGAGAGAGATAGAGAGATTCATTACATTATATTTTCCTTAATTATATAAGTTATTATCGAAAATTTTGTATTTATTTATATGTGAAAAAGTGTCGTATGATACAGATATGACTAAATAATGCATTTATCTTATTTATTATATATATTTGTATATTGAAAATTCTAGATTTATAGTCCACATCCACCACAAGGGGGACAACACTATGGGCATCCGCAGTATCCTCCTCAAAGTTACCCTCCACCGCCAGCAGGTCAAGGATATCCACAATATCCTCCACGACCACCTGGTGGACACATGCCACCTCCACCAGGACCACAAGGGCCACCGCCACCTAATCAGTATGGAGGTTATGGTTATCAACCACCAACACAATAAAATACATTAATTCTTAAATTTAAATAGATCTTAGATTAATGTGTATATTGAGCATATTTTCATTTACATTTTTATTTACATTTTGTGTATGTTAATGTACTTTATTATTATTATTAATATAAATTCACAATATTATATTAATATAAATATTATGAATATCCATATTAACATGAATACAAAGGATTCCACCAGTGATGAGATTACAAAGAATTGTATGAAGAACTTTATAATTCAATCTTTGGTGATATATTACATCTAACATCGTAATAAAAAAAAAAAATGCTTAGAACAAAATTAGGTATAAATTAAAATTCTCGAAAGTTGCTATAATAAATATACAGTTGAACATAAATACAACTGTCGATAGTTTTCAATATTTACATATTTTAATGGGTGATGTATAATCTATAGTAATTTATATATAATTTTGTTTAT